AACTTTGGGCAGCCCCAAAACCCTGGATGACCAGAAAGACCAGGAAGAAAGAGGTTCAAGAGGAGGCTGGGTGAAGACAGCGGAGGTTTGGAAAAAGGCAGATTCTCTTTTTCACCCATTTGCCCACACTGGCCCAGGCTATTCTCTTCCATTCACTCCAGTTTCTTTAAATTCATTCTCGTTGTGAGGAGGAGAGGGAGGAAGAGTAGAGAGGAAAAACAACAAGAAGAAACGAAGAAAAGACAGTGACCGACTGCCCCGCTCCTCTCCCTCCCCTGCTCCTGGTTAATTAAGGAGATGGAATATTTGTGATAGATCCTGATTCAGGAGATTTCAAACTGTAGCCCCAGGAATTTCAATCTGCTGTGGTTTTAGAAAAATGGTCCTCTGACCATCACATCTTCAGTCTACTAAGAAGACCATCAACCGTCTGTGTACTTATTTTAGATACCATAAGCATGTATTCGTATCATAGGTCTGCAAAATCTTTTTCTCCTCATAAAAGTCATGCTTTCTTATACAAAATCAATCAAATATTGAAGATGAGATTTAACTGGAGAAGAATTACAATAACTCGTAATCGTGCCACCTGAAAACAGCCACTGTCCATGTTCCGTCTTGGCTCGGCGCTGCTTCGTTTTCGTGCTAAGTGTCGGTATGTTCCGAGCATGGTACCGTGGCTCCTATTATCACACCTTGCTTCTCTGTCCCTGGTCATTTCCGCCAACCTCAGGACCCCTCTGGCATCCTCTCCAAGGCGACTGTCATGTTTCTCTCCTGCCCTTGATTGCTCTTCACCGTCAGGTCTGCATGTCCTTCTGTCTGCAAATACACAAAGTGGACACATGCCCGAGCACCCCACGCTCAGGATGTTCCACACCGAACTCATGATCCCTCAAAATGCCAGGTGGGCTCCCCTCCTCTGTCTGCTGGTCTGCCACCCTCTCAGTCATCCCAGCCAGGGGCTCCTTTCGCCCCTGTAGGCAGCCACCGTCCTGCCTGCCTTCTCTGGGAGCCGTTGCTTCGAACCATCCCGTCATCTTAATTCTGCCCTTGAACACTTTTTGCTGAGCTGCTCTTCCTCAGGGCTTCCCCATGCAGTTGGCTGCTCCAATAGGCACAGGCTCTGGAGCCTGATGACCTGATTCCAGCCCTGCCTTTGTCACTAGTGGCTTTGAGACTTTGGGCAAGTTATGGTGTTGTGTTCTGATTCCTCAACTCTGAAATAGTGTTGACAATAGGACCTGCGGCAGAGCTGGTGAGTTGATTACAACACTTAAAACACCTAGAACATCAGAAGAGTTCCCTGGCATATTATAAGCGCTCATTACAAGTTAGATATTATTATCCTATTGTCCTAATGCTAATTTCAAGCCACGCCTCTTCTGATCTCTGAGTTGATCTTTTCCTCTGAATTCTCAGTAGTCTTTGCCCTGGACCTCTTTCAGGGAGCCTAGCAATTTTTACCTCCCTTTAGCAATTTTTATACCACCGTTTATTATAGAGGTATACTCGCTACTTTTCTTACAATCTGAATATTTTATTATAATTTTTTCTTCATACTTCCATCTCCCCACCTCGACTATAAACACCTCGAGGGTAGAATCTTTGATTATTTATGTGTCTTCCCACCCTCCTCAATCCATGTAATGACTTGCATGTTGGAGGCTTTTTATGGTAGCAGTTTTATTAAGTTGTAATTTATATACAGTACAGTCCAGCCATTTAAAGTGTACAGTTCAGTAGTTTTTAGTATATTCAGAGTTGTGCAGCCATCACCACAATCAACTTGAGAACATTTTATCGCTCCCCAAAAAACCTGTGCCCTTTAGCTATCACTCAACTCTCCCCAACCCCTCCAGCCCCAGGCAACCACTATTCTATTGACTGTCTCTATGGATTTGCCTCTTATGGAAATTTCATGTAAATGGAATCATATAATAAGTTATTTTTTCTGACTGGCTTCTTTCACTTTGCTTACTATTTTCAAGGCTCACCCATGATGTGGCATGTATCAGAACTTCATTCCTTTTCATGGCCAAATATATCCCATTGTATTGTATACCACATTTTGTTTATCCATCCATCAGTTGATGGACATTTGGGTGGTTTTGACTTTTTGGCTATTATGAATAATGCTGCTCTGAATCTTTGTGTGCAACTTTTTGTGTGGACATGTTTTTATTTTATCTATCTATCACTTATCTATCACTATTATTTTATTTTATCTATCTATCTATCACTTATCTGTCTATATCTACCTATATAGATATAGATAGATATATAATTCCTACAAGTAGAACTGTCTGGCCATATAGTAACTCTATGTTTAACCCTCTCGGGAACTGCCAGCTGTTTTCCAGAGTACTGTACCATTTTATTCATTTTATTTGTATTTCCCCCAGCAGTGTATCTATTTTCCCCACATCCTGCCGGTGGTAGACTTTTAATATAAAAAGAATGGAAAGAATATTTCTTTTAGCTTGATTTTCTAGTTCAGTACGCTAAAAAACTACTTTCTTCTAACATCTAAATTAACAACTCTTTCTATGAGAAAAATGTCCTTCATCCCCGAGGGATGTCTGTATGGCACCAGCAAGACATTTTAGAAAGGAAGATGAGAAGATTCATCTGCATTCAGATAAAAATACAGATCTTGAGGAATTTTTCCTAGTATTGTCATTATACCAACAGGAATTTCTTGAGAGACGCAAATATGTATTGCTTTGCATGAATAAGTCAATGTTACCTAAAGGTAGAGACAAAGTACAGGATCCTGTGCCAAAAAGTGAGATTTTTGAAAGCAAAAAGAATTGGAGTGGGGCCAAGTGATTTAAGGAAAAATAAAAACCTATCGAAGTGAGCAAGGAAACGGTGCTAGAGAAGAGCTCTCACACCAGGCGGGACACGGAGCCCGCCGTGAGTCAGCAGGGCTGTGGGGAGGGTCATGAGGGTGCAGTTGCAGGGGCTCGGGAGAGAGGCGGGTGGCCCCCGCTCTGTGCATGGCCACATTTCTGGTGGTGAGAAGAGACAATGTATGACAAGTGGGAAAGTGCCTAATTCTAAAGCAGTGGTGAAAAGGCTTATGACGCATCATGAGCTGAAGCTTATGAAGCACTTACCGTGAGTCAAACGCAGTCTTTAGCACCTTATATACATCACCTCAGTGTAATCTTCCTAACGACCCTGTGGTTTAGGTTCAATTATTGTCCTCACTTTGCAGATGAGGAATCAAAGACACACGGATGTTAAGAAATTGTTGATAGCTGCACTCCCATATTTATTGCAGCAGTGTTTATAATAGGCAAGATTTAGAAATGAACTAAGAGTCCATCTGTGGATGAATGGATAAAGGAAATTTTATACATTTTTATAAAAGTCAGCCATAAGAAAGAAGGGAATTCTGCCATTTTTGACAACATGGACAGACTTCAAAAGCATTTTCTTAAGTGCAATAAGTCAGACAGAGAAAGACAAACTCATAAAAACAGAGAGTAGGATGGTGGTTACCAGGGGCTGGGAAGCTGTTGGTCAAAGGATAGACTTACATCCTGGGGATGTAACGTACAGCATGGTGCCTGGAGTTAATCATACTGTATTATATAATTGAAAGTTGCTGAGAGAGTAAATCTTAAATGTTCTCACTACAAAAAAAGACACAGTAATTATGTGAGGCGATGAAGATGTTAACTAACTCTAATGTGGTAATCGTTTCACGATATATAAGTGTATCATCAAATCAATATGCATATACCATAAACTTACACTGTTATATGTCAATTATATTTCAGTAAATCTGGGGGAAAAATAAAAGCATTCTTTTTTCTTCTGTGCTCAGGAAAACTGGGTATTTAAAAAAAAAGAAAAAATATAAAACATAAAAATAAAGAAATAAAACATAAAACTCATAGGAAAGAAAGGAGAGAGTGAGGGAGGGAAGGAGGGAGGAAGGGAGGGAGGGAGTCACTCAGGGTACCAAAGCTGATAAGTGTTGATTCTGAGCTTTGTGCCCTGAAGCCAGTGAGGCTCCTTGGTTGGGGCTCTCAACCACTGCCCTAGTATACCTCTGCCTATGTTTGTTTTCTTCACCCACATTGTTTGAATACAATAGTTAAAAGCACATTTAACCACCTCGTGGTTTTAGTTTAAATAAAATCAATTTCAATAATTAGTCAAGACACTTGATTTAATAATGGTGTTAAAATTGTCATAATTTAATGTAATATAATATGCCAAGGAGAATATAAGAGTTGAGGCAGATCTTGTAGGGCCTTGTGGGCCATGCTAAAAAGATGAAACTTTATTCCGGAGGCAGTGAGAAGCATTTGGTTTCAAGCTCCGGAGTCAAGTGGTCACCTCGGGGCTTTAGCACATCCCTCTGGTTGCAATTAGGGGTTTGTACTGGAGGCAGTGAGAGCAGAGCTGGAGATATAAAGAGCAGGCGAAGGATGAGAAGAGTCTGAGCGAAGGAAGACCACAGCCATGGGGATGGGCAGAGGGACAGATGGAAATTAAGGAAAGGTGGAGCATCACCAGTGGAAATGAGCTGAGAGGGGAATCATGTTGTCTCTCAAGAGTCTGCATAAATCACAGAGCAGTTGGAGATATAATTCACCAAGCTTCTTGATGCCGATATAGTAAGATTTTACAATAACGAATATGGTTTTCTGGAGAAATTTTTTTAATCATCTCCATTTTTCCATTTTGGTGTTTCTTATAGTCCTCCCTCTGTTTTCTTTGGGTCAAAGCCATTTTCTTTCCATCAGACATGCCATCCTTTTTACGGAAGCAACTTCAGCAGTTTTAACACTTCAAACTTTAACTTATGAGAAGTCTACTCATGTCCCTCTGGGTCTTTCAGAGTCAGTATCTTTGTGCAGTTTCCTGGACTCATCAAGTTTGCCCAAGTGCTTTGCTTGCAGATGTGTATTGTTCAAGGAGATAAACGACTTAAGTAGAAAATTGATGGCTCACCTGTTGAAATTCTCTTGCGACTCCAGGCTGCCCTGGCAGGAGGCACCACCATGGTCATCGATTTTGCCATTCCTCAGAAAGGCAGCTCCCTCGTCGAGGCCTTCGAGACCTGGCGAAGCTGGGCTGATCCCAAAGTCTGCTGTGACTACAGCCTTCACGTGGCAGTGACATGGTGGAGTGACCAGGTGAACCACCCCGGGGTCCGATTTCTTCCACTTAGTCCCCTAGTGCTTGCTCTTACAAGATCAAGAAACTGGTAATGTCAAAACGTAAGAAATTGGGATGTTGGGTGCCTGGAAGTCAGAACTGGAAGGAAGACCTTTCACTGCAGATTCCTTTTTGCCTTCTGAATTTTGAATCCTGTGAAGTATTGTCCATTTGTAAAACTAAAATTTTTAAAAATCATAGACAGACGATACGAAAATCCTTCATAATAATTCACAACAGCCTTCCCTAATATTTAATTAATGACATGTCATTTTAAGATCTCCCTTTTTCTCAACTTCCCCATTTCCAAACGATTTTAAAACAGTATTTTTCCACAGATTAGAATTTCAATTTGAAATGTTTAAATTTTGGAGAAAAACCAAGGAAATTCTCATTTAAAACTAGTTACTGCCATTCCCATTCTTGGCCCCTTTTCCCCCTCCTGTGCACTTGAAAGAGGAAGGGACAGCCCAGGAACGTTTTCAAGGCCTTCTCCAGCTGTCCCCTCACTCTCTCTGTGCTGCTCTGCTAATGTAACCACCTGCTCACATCATCTCGTAATGGAGCTTAAACCAGCCTTCCATAGCTGCTAATTACTTAGGCCATGGCAGAAATGATAACATGGTTCAGGCAGGAAAGATAGTTTTGAGAGATGTTAAAATGTGTTCATTTCTCATATAAATTTTCATGAATACTTTAGAAGAAATTTTTACTTGTAATTTAAATCAACACTGCGTTTTTCCACATTGGACTTAATTCAGAAATCTTTTTATCAGAAAGTGCTTACAAGGTGACTTTATTTGAATTTACCCTGTAACTTGTACTTCTACCTCCCCCTAAAAATAGGGCTTTAGACACTAAGTTAATAGAAAACGAGTAGTCAATCTTAAACGGATAGTTCAGCAAATATAACAGCAAGGTTTATAGTCCACAGCTAAAGTTAATTTTTCTACAAAAATGTTTAGGGCCTTCCTGCCTTCCTTCTTTCCTCCCTCCTTCCCTCCCTTTCTCCATCTCTTATTTTATAAAGTATAGCAAAAGTGATGATATTTGCTCTTACCAGTGCTTCTCACACTTAAATATGCAAATAGTTACCCAGTAAATACTGTTAAAATATGGATTTTGTTCAGTAAGTGTGTTAGTTTGCTAGGGTTGCTGTAATAAGTGCCATCAACTGGGAGGCTTCAACAACAGAAATTCATTGTCTCACAGTTCTGGAAACCAGAAGTCCAAGATCAAGGTGTGGACAGATCGGTTCCTTCAGAGAGTGGTGAGGGAGAATCTGCTCCATGCCTCTCCCCTTGCTTCTGGTGGTTTGCCAGCCATCTTTGATGTTCCTCAGTTTGCAGAAGCATCACCGCATCTCTGCCATCATCTTCTCATGGCATCGTCCCTGCGTGTGTCTGTCCAAATTTCCCCTTTTTATAAGGACACAGTCATATCGGATTACGGGCCATCCTAGTGACCTCATCTTAACTGCATCTGCAATGCCCATGTTTCCAAATAAGGTCACATTTGATGTTGGAAGTTAGGGGTTCAACATATGAATTTGGGAGGACTCATAACAGTAGATCTGCGTGGGGCCTGATATTAGTTCAACATATGAATTTGGGAGGACACATCGACTCATAACAGTAGATCTGCGTGGGGCCTGATATTCTGCATTTTGAGCAGGCTCCCAAGTGTGCTGATGCTGCTGGTTCGAGGACCACACTTTGGGAGTAGCAAGGCTTAAGTTCCTGTGCCTGAGAGTAGTGTCATGGGACGTACCAAAGATGCGGAAGACGGATGATTAATGAGGTCACCCTCAGAAAGACTCTTCTACTCAGGAAGTAATAGTTATTTCTTCTGAGCAATGCAGATCATAATCCCCTTTGGAAGCCCATTATGTGAATATGCTAATAATGTTTAGAGCATTTTTTCCCTAACAATAAAAATAATATACTGATGGTAGAAAATTCGAAATTAGAGAAAAATTTTAACAACAGCAACAACAATGAGGCACTCTATACTATGATCTGCCCTTGCTGTTGTCCCTTAACATGTTTTGAAGCTCATTCCATCATTTCAATGATGACTACTTTCAACACTTTGATTTTTTTTTATTCCTTTGTATATGTACTAAGTATAACATATAGCAGCGGTCCCCAAATTTTTGGCACCAGGGACCAGTGCTCCTGTGGGAATCTAATGCCTGATGATCTGCGGTGGAGCTGAGGCGGTGATGCTAGCGCTGGGGAGCGGCTGCAAACACAGATGGAGCGTCGCCGGCTTGCCCACCGCTCATCTCCTGCTGTGTGGTTCAGACCCTAACAGGCCACAGACCAGTACCAGTCCACGGCCTGGGTATTGGGAACCCCTGACACATAACATACAGAAGTATATTCATTCATTCATTCATTCAGTTAACAGTTACTGAGTGACCACTATGCACTAGACACTGTTCTAAGATATGGCAGTGGACAAACCATACAAAGCCCCTGCTCTTATGGGGAAAACAGGCTATCAACAAATAAATAATATATCAATAGATAAAGCAAAATAAATTAATACGTCAATAGATAAAGCACCAGAGAGAAAAGCAAAGAAAATTAGTAAGGGAATATAGAGTGATGGAAGTGAGAACTTAACAAGTAATATTTTTATTTTTAAACTTTGCTGATTCAGTAGAAAAAGTTGCATCATTTTATTTTGCACTTTATAATCAGTAGGAAGGATAAATTTTTCTATATTAGTCATTTTTATTTACTGTTTGAATTGTTGGTAACATTTTTTACCTCCAATGTTAGAGTTTTTCTTATGAAGTTGAAAGAGCTTTTATCAAATAAGAGCAATAATCCTATGCCTGTTTTATTTTGTGTGTGTGTGTGTGTAACATGTAGAAGGAGTTCAAACAATTTGATTTTTTCTTTGAAGTTTTTACTCCTTATTAAGGCTTGAATTGCTAAGTCTCTGCAAGGGCAATCACTAATCTAGTTTTGACCTTAAGCAGCACTAAGCCCCCTAGGACCCGACTGGTCCAGCCTGTCACCTCCTCAGCACTGCCAGTGGGTGGATCTACATCCTCGACTTCCCCTATAAGAACTCCTATGTGGGTTTTAGATTCGAGCCCAAACACTCGCCTCACATTAGCTTTGATTCCGTCTAGAGACACAATTGCTTCTGTTGCTGCCAAATGGCTTTATCTTCATTTTCTAGAAAAATTTCCTCACATGGGGAAATAGATGTTGAGAATTTATATCCAAGTATAGAAATGGAATACCTTGGGGGAAACTATTAACTCTTTTATGATTTAAAAGTATTATATCAGTCTACAGCGATGTCACCCTGAACATGCCCTATCCTGTTTGATCTCAGAAGCTAAGCAGGGTCAAGCCTGGTTAGTACTTGGATGGGAGACCATCTAGGAAGACCAGGTGGTGTAGGCGTAAAAACCAAGTATCAGTAGCAGTTCAGCAGATGAAATGGGCTCTAACATGCAGGAAAGATAAAGGCCTTAACTGCATTTTTTCTGGAATTATGCTGTTGTCCTTATTTTACTTCTCTTCTGAATGCAGTGTTTTAGAGAATGTCAAAATTGTCTTTAAATTAAACAGAGACATTTTCTCGTTGTTGTTCTCTTTTAGGTTAAAGAAGAAATGAAAATCCTTACCCAAGATAAAGGTGTGAACTCTTTCAAGATGTTTATGGCATATAAAGATCTGTACATGGTGAGCGACAGGGAGCTGTACGCGGCCTTCTCTCAGTGCAAGGAAATCGGAGCGATTGCTCAGGTTCACGCGGAAAACGGAGACCTAATTGCAGAGGTGAGCAGTTGCATTCCAGAACTTCTGCACAAACGGAAACGAACTTGACTTACAGTCGATTGGCCTGAGATGGGTAAACTCACTTAATGCACTGGGAGGAACTAATTTTCTGCGGGTTGGAAACACTGTGCCCGCTCTGAATTTTATTCAGGCGGTATATGCATTGAACTGAGGATTTCCCTTCTCCAAACCAGCTATTAGATCTGAAACACGTTTTATTATTAAAACACAAATATTTTTCTTTGCGTAGCCCAGCACTTTTTTGTTTTTCAGCTTTTGTTGTTGGTTTGGAATGGCCAAGTGTGGTCATCGGCTTAATCTGATGATTTAGGCAATGTAGGGAGCTGTTTAAAGCCCCACTCTTTTCAGAAGCTGGGTATTAAAATGTGCTCTGGAGGAGTCTAGAAGATACTTATTTTTCATATCAGTTCCATTATTAATACCCAGAGGGTGCGCCATCTGCAAGATTTAAAGAGCTCCCTCTTACCCTTTATATTAGCTGATTTTTCCCCTCCCTAGGCTCAGTTCCTATTAAAGTCAGTGAGACTGAGGCTCCGGGGCCGGAGGCAGCGGGATGTGATGAGAGGAGAGCGTGAGCTGTAACCTCAAACAGACCAGGGTTTACACTTGACTCTCCCTCTTCCTCTCTGTGTGACACCGGGCAAGTCATTTTCCATCCAGAGTCTTGACTTCCTGCCTTTTTCTTAAGGAAGAAATAACATTTTACAGAGGAGAAATAACTGATCCGATATCAGTCAGTGGGTTGGGCGAGAGGGCACTGAAGACTGATTCAGTAAAAAGTAGCAGACTACATAACTACATAATGTAGTACCATGAGTCACTTCAACAAGGATCTAGTATAGGAGATTAGCATGTTTCATTTTATTTTGTTTGATCTGAACCAATAATAAGTCTTCAATATAAACACTGCTTTTCAAAGAACGTGATTAGAACTAATCTCGTATCTTTTTCACCTTTCAATCACAAGAATTGAAAAATATGTATATAAAAATTTACATATACTATCAGAATATTAAATTTCTTTTTACCAAATACACTGTGTGTACACACACTTTCACATACACACATCTATATAAAACAGATCTAAAAGCCTGTCAGTGTATTTGTTTTACAATACAATAATGGCATTTGTCATGAGTAAACCTTCCCTGTACGTGTGTATATTCCTCCTGCCTTTTTAGGGAGCAAAGAGGATGTTGGCGTTGGGGATAACAGGCCCCGAGGGCCATGAGCTGTGCCGCCCAGAAGCAGTGGAGGCAGAGGCCACGCTGAGAGCCATCACCATCGCCAGCGCGGTGAACTGCCCTCTCTACATCGTCCACGTGATGAGCAAGTCCGCAGCAAAGGTGATAGCGGATGCGAGGCGAGATGGTAATTCCTGAGTTATATAACTTCTCTTCTAACTCCATATTAACTAAAGAGTGAGGTAAAATACCTGCGACCTCTCCTTTTCTAATGAAAAAGTTGTGCATGAATTTCCATTTTTTCTGTTTTCTTTTATTGTTGTGCGTGTCTATTTTTATTCTCTTTTTTGCTCATTTTCATGACTGCTTCTCTTCTTTCAGATTATTTCTTCGCCATATTTGGAACCTCAAGACTTTTCCTTCAGCCCCGAGTCCTCACCTTTAACGCCACTAGCAGCCCATTTCCTAAGAAGCTCTCTCTTTCTCTTAGGCATCTCCGCTGTCCTTCCTCCTTGTAGCAGGGTAATGTATGTAGAACACATAGTAGGTGCTTAACAAATTTCTTTTGAATTGGATTGATTTGTCTCATAGCAACTTGAGTGTTGTGCAGTTGAAGCAGTTATCCAAGTAGTATTTTTATGACAGTTATTTTAAGATCGTAAAACCAAAGTTATTTTTACTCCAAATTGCCTAATTGCCTACGTTCTTTCGTTTACTATGTAAATAGTCATCGTAAAAGAAAGAGAAAATCTCATTTTTTATTATTAAGATAGAAATTTATTTCTTCAGACATAACCATGAGTAGCCCAGGGTTGGCATGACAGCCTACAGTCATCATAGTCCTCCCATCTTGTTGTTCCATGGGAAAATCTCCTGTTTTTAATAAGAATTGGGTAGAAAAATAATTGTATTTATTTGTCAGTACTGGTAAAGGAAGGATGAGAAACAAATCAGGTGAATTGTATTTGATGACTTTAGGCCGTCTGGGGATGGGCTGGTAGTTTCTATCATCTAACTTTTAGGAATCTGGATAATCAGAAATAGTCTTATAAATCATCCTGGGTTGTTTGTTTGTTTAAACTGAGACTGCCTGCATTTTTATAATATGAATTATAAAAACTATGAAAACATATTTGGCATGTCTGTAGTTGACACTAAAATAATTTTTTTCAAAATTGGTTCTTGTCGAATGAAGGTTCAATTAAGGATTTTGTTCTAGCCAAATGCATTTTTAAAATGTAATCCATCAATATCTTGTGTTAAGAATAAACTCAGTTTCACAGGGATTTAATAAGGTCTTACTGCCAACCATTCTGGTTACTTTTCCTCCCTTCCCCCATATAATGTAATTTCAGTATAGAAGAGCACAATCCTTTGAAAAGAAAATACAATTTTAAAGTTAGAGAGCATTAAGTTTTTGCCACCAGATGGCGCTGTTGCTAACGCTATGAAATTGTTCTGTCATTTTGTGCTTTCTAAGTACTATATCACATGCTAGAGCCTATCAGTTAAGTCCATACTATCAGCATATGATTTAAGAAACAGTAAATTCAGCAAAAATGGTCACTTTTAACCTACCATCAAGTTACAATTTCGACAGTTCTGTCAGGAAACAGTTTCTTGATCTTGGGTATTTAATTTGCACTGGGATAGAATTCCATTAGAAGCAGAGTAAGAGTTTAGGGAAAGTTTTGGAATGTGAACCATAGGCAGAAAACTCAAGTATGGATATTTTTATTTTATTTTAAGTTATTTTTTAATTTAACTTTATTTCTTGAATATGTAAAACATTTACATGGCCCAAAAGTCAAAATTATATATTGAGAATGTATTCTCAAGAGCATTTGAGATCTTGCTCCCTGGTAGATGTCTTCAGTTTGGCTCAAAAAACTCTTATTAAAAGAAAAGAATATAGTCTCAGTCACATTCTTCCCTAGTTCCTTCATTCTACACCCCATAAGTAATTATTTTTTATTCATTTATTTCTGGCCTATCTTTATAGTGTTTCTCTTTACCAAAAGAAAGAGTATATGTATATTCTAACTTCTTTTTCTTTCCCGCACGAAAGGTAAAATACTATACAGAGTGTTCTCTATATCGCTTTTTTTTTCTTACTCGAAAATATGTCCTAAAGGTCAGCTCATATTAGGTAAAGAGACTTTTCATTCTTTTTCTCAAATGCAGAGTATACCATTGTATTTGTTCAACTACTCCCTAATGATGGATATTTCGTTTGTTTCCAATCTTTAGCTATTACAAATAAAACCACAGTGATGGCCACATGCATATGCTATTTCATGTTTGTGGAGGGTGTGTTAGTTTTCTGTTGCTGCTCTAACAAATTACCACAAACTTAAAGCGACACAATTTATTATCTTACAGCTCTGGAGGTCAGAAATCTGGTCTCAGTGGGCTGCACCAGGGTGTTGGCAGGGCTGTGTTCTTTCTGGAGGTTCTATGGGGAATCCCTTTCTTTGCCTTTTCCAGCTTCTAGTGACCACTTAAATTCCTTGGTTCAAGTCCCTACCTCCATCTTCAAAGCTAGCAATGGTGGGTAGAGATCTCCTTGTCACCTCTCGTCTACTTTAAGGATCCTGGGATTACGTTGAACTCATTCGATTAATTCAGGATAAGCTCTCTGTCTCAAGGTCAATAATTTAATTGCAATCGTGAAGTCCCTTTTGCCATATAGGGTAACATATTCATAGGTAATGGGGATTAGAATGTGGGGCACCATTATTCTGCCTACCACAAAATTCTGTCCTCAGGGTAGAGTCCTATAAGCGTGACTGCTAGTTCAAAGGGTAGATGCCTATGCACCTTTTGGATGTTGCTAAATTCCTTTCCAAAGGGATTATAAATATGGAATATTTGAAATGTCACCCCAGATGTTCTAGTTGAGTCAAACTTATTGTACAAGCACTGGTGAGAATACTCCAATGCACAGTTGTCAAAGAGGCATCAGATCTCTCAGGGGAAATTAGCACGAGAGATTTCCTGCCCCTAGCATGTGACCCCTTGCATGTGATCAAGGCATGTAATCAAATGGGAACTTGAAGGGAGCATGGGAGGGTGGGACATAAACAGCACCAAACCTCCCACATGGTGACAAACCAGCCAACCCAAGGGCAGATCCCTGGGGAGTACAGAGGGACAAGACTAAAGTGACCTTTTACAGAAGATTCATTTACTCCACTTGCACTCATTTATTATCTAACATAGTTTCTGAGCATAAAAGAGCAATACAGATCTATTGATTGTTATCCTGTTTAAATAAGAAACAGATTTATAATATGAACATTTCCTATCCGTAAATTCCTTTGCCAGGCCAGCTTATCATCTAGGGTCTTGCCACTCGAAGTGTGGTCTCCAGAATGCAGTGTCAGCATCCCCTGAGAGTTCGTTGGAAATGCATAACCTTGGACCCCATCCCAGACCCAGTGAATCAGATTATGCTAGAACCCCAGGTGATTCATATACATATTAAAGCTCAGAGTCACTGTACCAGCAGGCACAAAAGATAACCAATTATTAATTGTCTCTATTGTAGTTGCCTGGAAATACAAATGCTGTTAAGTTTGATTTTATTGTTGAATTGCCAGCTGTATACCCAGAAGATAACAGCATGAGAGTTAATGATTATAACAACCAACATTGTCAAGTGCTTAATGTGTGCCTGGCACATATTTTAACAGTATATCTCATTTCAGGTTTTATTATATATCATCTCATCAATGTATTTTAATATACATTATCATTTTTAATTGTCATAACAATGCTTCTAGCTAAATTTTATCACTGTTTTGTGATTGATGAAATTGGGCTTGGGAAAGTTTAGTAAATTAAGTCCAAGATCACTTTACTAGTAAGTGCGAAATAGACCTGGGATTCAAGCTCAAGTCCCTCTGACCCCAGAGCCCCGATTTTTGGTTACTGTCCATTCTGTTCAAGAGGAAATCTGTTCAAGAAGAAAGTTTACAAAGTTGGGAAACATAAATACCAAGTTTATAGGTAATTGGGTTTTTTACCTTATATTTAAAATTTTTATTTAAAACACTGTCATTTTGTTATTATTTATTAACATTATTAAAGGAAAAACCCATACCAGGAATAGAAATGATCGAGAATGTATTCAGTGGAAAGTGAACATCCTCTTTCTCCCTCAGCTCAGTCCTAGAACTAGTGGTTTTTCACTATATCTATCTTTAGTTCTTTGGTGATTACCTCCAAAATTCTAAACCATAAATTTATAAGTAGAGGCTTATAATTGTTGACAGCATCACTTGACTCTGAACTGTGAAAAATGAGCCATTTAGCTTATGTAAGTCTTTTACCTCCAGAGTTTTGTTAGCAATAATTGTCACTTCAAATAATATTAATTACATTTATGTGTTTTTCGGCTATTATTTTTAGAGATATCTCTTTATTCTCAACTATGTTGAAAAGGGGATGTAGAGGCTCTGTATTACCCTCTTTGCTCCTCCTGACTTCTATCAACTCTATATTATCTTTATACAAACAGAAATTACAGTTGGCTCTGTAACTATAATTAGGTCTTCCATGCTTTGTCTATAGGTTAAGTCTACAATTTAGAACTGTTTCAACATGAAACTGTGGAAATATTCTTCTTTGTAGAAATGATTAGTGAGAAGAGAATCTCAGAAATCTATATCACTAAATTGAAATGCAAACTCGTATTATTTAAATGAACTCTTGGAAAAGCAACTGCCAAGTGTTAAAGTCAAATGTGTTTCCTTTTCTGCACTCCAATAAGGTTTAAAGCAGACCTTAGTTTAGTTTGTTACATATTTAGGCCATTATTGTCTAGTAAAGTTTTTTTTTCCCCCTTGGAATTTTTCCAATTAGCTTTTTTGAAAATAGGTTCAGAAAAGAAACATATGCCTTCTTTACCATATCATGAAGATTTTAGCTTCATCACACTTTCTATTGATTGAAATCAGCTCTTCTTTCAGAGATTCTTTTTGGGAGGAGAGTTTTCTGACCTTCTGTATTTTTGGATAGTTGCTTTTCAAGCCTACTGTAGAGCTGTCATCCTAGGACTTCCTTTCACAGCATCCTAGATTAGATATACTGTTTCTTGGTTCCCATATCTCCTCTCCTTTTCTTGGAATGACCTTGAAGAATCTCAAATAATATTTCTAAGGAAGAATGTTGAAAGGTAAATTT